ATTAAATCGTTTGTCGCATTTTGCGATTTTCCGGATTTAATCCCTCCTTGCCAAGCAGAGATTTACGTACTCGTCTTGTCAGACTTGCGGACCTTCCTCTTGTGTTCGCGCACCTTGCGAAGGATCTTGTACTTCTTCTTGAGCGTAAGCCGCTTACTCGCCCTCTCTGCCAAATTTTGATGTAAAAATCGTGGTTAATCGTTGTAATAGTTTGCCAGTTTGAGGACGGGAAAGAAGGTCTGCAATCAACGCGAAGGAGGCGGTCGTACTCTTGCCCTTCATCTTTGCTCACAGATCGACTTCACAACAAAAGAACGGAGACAATCCAGATCGCAAAGAGAAAAAGGACTTCCGCGCAGGAAAGAAAGCGGAAGCTCCGAATGCTGCACAAATTGTGCTCAAACAAGGTTCGTGCGGACGCTGTTCACGCTGGTGTGCGTGGCCCCTACTGCCACCGCGAGGTATGCATATACATGCCTCAGTGACCCCCAGTGCTAGTGAACTACCTCAACAAATCATCGCGTGGGCAACAAATCGAAGATCAAATTGCTTGTGCATTTTCACGCACCAAGCGAAAAGCAAAGCAGCAAGGAATGAAAAGGAAAAGGAAAATACAAAAATTAAGCTGGTGGGAAAGTCACGGATTGGGCTTGGCCGCGGTCACGGCTCTTGGGCTGCACGGCTTTTCCCAGGACATTTGGGCTGGTGGAAACATGTTGGCACTTTTAGCCACCTCGTCCCAACCTGCCTGGGCCTGACTCTTCTGGGACCGACCCAACCGCTCTTGGGCCTGCACCGCGGCTATCTCGTCCTCAACTTTGGGTGTTGTCTTTCCCTTTCCCCTCACACAACATAACACATACACCACATCACGCCACACCTTGCACCCACCAACAATGCTTCGCTTTGCTCGAAGGAGTGGTGGACAGCACGCGGTAGGGCAGCTGGCGACGGCCTCCCTGCCCTCTACCATCATCGCGCATGCCTCGCCAGCGTTGGCGTGCGGTTCGTCGTTGGTCCAGACGACCTGGGGCCGACGACACTATGCCTCGGCCTCGTCGCCCACCAAGCCTACCAAGTCCAAGCTGCCCTACCGCCCCATCCACAAGCTGCTCGTCGCCAACCGAGGTACCCCCACACTCTTCCTGACCTCCATCGCCCGCCACCATCCCAACGACATTTCCACGCCCAAGCAAGACTGCGGCGCAGTGCCGCTTGGGCGTCGCGTTTTATTTTATTATTTGGACCAATAATTGGATTAAGTTATATTGTTTAGCTTCCAAAAGTCAGGGAGGGGGGCGTTGCTAACGTAATGGCGTGCGCGCATGGGCAGGCGAGATCGCCATCCGGGTGATGCGAGCAGGCACGGAGCTGGGAATACGCACCGTCGGCATCTACTCCCACCAGGACGAGAAGTGTGCGTGTGCCACTGCTTGACGCAAGCGCGTGTCGTATGTGGGTTTCAGGTCCGAGGTGGAAGTAAGTAATATGTGCCGTCACCGTGATCTGTGTGTACAGCGTTGCACAGGCAGAAGGCCGATGAGTCCTACGAGGTGGGTAAGGGCATGAGCCCCGTGGAGGCCTATCTCAGCATCCCCGAGATGGTCCGAGTGGCCAAGGAGGTGGAGGCCGACGCCATCCACCCGGGCTACGGCTTCCTGTCGGAGAGTGGTGACTTTGCCCAGGTCAGTGCAGCACTCATCATCGTTCATGAAGCTCTTGTTGGGAATTAACATATCTGTGGATTCTCGGCCATAGGCCTGCCTGGATAACAACATCAGATTCATCGGACCTGCACCTGAAGTGGTCCGCTCCATGGGCGACAAGGTGTTCGCTCGTCAGATGGCGATCGCCTCCGGAGTGCAGGTAAAGCCGCCACGGCCGTCTCTTCTTCCGCGGGCGTGGAGAGGTGTTGACCACCTTTGGTCCACACAACCCAGGTGGTGCCTGGCACCGATGCTCCGGTTTCTACCGTTGAAGAGGCGGAACTGTTCTGCAATAAGGTACTGGCGCTGCACACTTTGGATAGCGGTTGGTGGATGGCCCGAACTCATCGATGCAATGTCGACCTGCGATCCGAACAGTTTGGGTTCCCAGTCATCCTGAAGGCCGCGTTCGGTGGAGGCGGGCGCGGCATGCGTGTGGTACACGCCCGCGAGGAACTGCATGACGCCTTTGAGCGCGCCACTTCTGAGGCCAAGTCCGCCTTCGGCAACGGCTCCATGTTCATCGAGCGTTTTGTCCAAAACCCGCGCCACATCGAGGTAACGTGCCTTCACGTGCTGCGACACACGCGTGCACTCTATGAAACGTTGGCTACCTTTCCACCCCATCATTAGGTCCAAGTCCTGGGCGACAGGACTGGTCAGGTGGTGCACTTGCACGAACGGGATTGCTCCGTCCAGAGGAGACACCAGAAGGTGGTCGAGGTCGCCCCGGCTCCCTGTACGCGCTGCCTGCCTTCAGGGTGATGAGTGCCGAGCTAGCAATGGATGCACGCACACACGCACGCAACACGGCTTGCTCACTCAATCTGGTGCCGACTGCAGTCCTCGCCGATGACATCAGGCAGAAACTGTTCTCCGACGCCGTCAAGCTGGCCACGTATGCCGGATACGAAAACGCCGGCACTGTGGAATTCCTCGTGGACGAGCAAGGTGAGGCCTTGACTGATGATTCATCCTGAGTCCAGACGGTGTGTATGATGACTTACTATTTCTGCTTCGTTTGCTGCAGGTCGTCACTACTTCATCGAAGTGAATGCGCGCCTGCAGGTGGAGCACACCGTGACGGAGGAGATCACGGGCGTGGATCTGGTGCAATCGCAGATCCGCATCGCCGAGGGCCTCACGCTGCAGGACTTGAACCTCACGCAGGACAAGATCCACGTCAACGGCGCCGCCATCCAGTGCCGCGTCACCACCGAAGACCCCTACCACAACTTCCGGCCCGACGTGGGCCGCATCGATGTGTTCCGCACGGGCGAGGGCATGGGCATCCGACTTGACGGCGGCAACAGCTACTCGGGCGCAACCATCTCGCCCTACTACGATTCCCTCCTGGTGAAGGTGACCGGTACGGGCTAACGCACCTCCGCGCGACAGCAAGGTGAGGCACAACTGTGTGCTGACTTGAAAGGTATGCAGGCAAGGCGAGAAACCACGAGGAGGCGGCCAAGAAGCTGCAGCGCGCTCTGAACGAGTTCCGCATCCGAGGTGTGAAAAACAACATCCCCTTCCTGCAAAACGTGCTCTCGCACCCGAAGTTTCTGGCGGGCGGCGTCAACACGAGCTTCATCGATACCATCCCCGAGCTTTTCCAGTTCCACGAGACCCAGAACAGGTGCGCCATCCCCATCCGACCCCTCATCGAATTTGATCGATGGACCATTGCTCAAATCATCCGGCGCTGTGTTCGCGACTGCTCAACGTTTTACAGAGCGTCGAAGATCTTGAACTTCCTGGCCAACGTGCATGTGAACGGGTCTCTCACTCCGCTGGGAACCTCCAACAAGCCCGCGAATATAACTCCGCAAGCACCAGACGTGCCTCACAGTACGAGTCGGACTAATACGGTTATTGTTGATTGGTCCGTGTAAGCGTCATTGTATCGTACTGACACGTCCACAGCCGATCCGCCGCAGGGATGGCGCAGCATCTTCCTGGAGAAGGGCCCGAATGAGTTCGCCAAGGCCGTGCGCGCCCACAAGACCCTCTTGCTGACCGACACCACCATGCGCGATGCCCACCAGTCCCTGCTGGCCACCCGCGTGAGAACCAAGGACCTCCTCACCATCGCCCCCGCCACAGCCCATCTTATGGCGCCCCTCTACAGGTACCAACCCCGATATCTGCCGCCAGCCGGCGCCGGCTCATTCATGTGCGGCAACTCACGACCACCATTTCTGCCGCTAGTTTGGAGATGTGGGGCGGTGCCACGTTCGATGTGGCGCTGCGCTTCCTCCGCGAGTGCCCGTGGGAGCGGCTGCAGAGGCTGCGCGAGGCCGTGCCCAACATTCCGTTCCAGATGCTCCTGCGCGGAGCCAATGCCGTGGGCTACACCAACTACCCGGACAACGTCGTCCACAGGTTCTGCCGCGAGGCCAAGACCAACGGAATCGACGTCTTCCGCGTCTTTGACTCCCTCAACTACTTCCCCAACATGGAGCTCGGTACCAATCCCCCCTCTCTTCCCGCCCCATTGTCAGTCCCACTGGTTTCTCTGCTCATCGAGGCTGGTTGGTGGTAGGTATCGATGCTGTGGGCAATGCTGGCGGTATTGTCGAAGCGGCGATCTGCTACACGGGCGACGTCACCCGTGGTCTCACCGAGAAGGACTACAAGTACAACCTGGACTACTACGTCGACTTTGCCGAGAAGCTGGTGAAGAGGCACATCCACGTGCTCTGCATCAAGGACATGGTGCGACATGGCCCGCCCGCACACCAATAATTCCTCGTTTTCTGCCGAGTGCTGATAAGTGTCGGTCATTGGGTTTCAGGCTGGGCTGCTTACGCCCCAAGCTGCGCGTCTCCTGATCGGCACTCTGCGCGAAAAGTTCCCCGAGGTGCCGATTCACGTGCACACGCACGACACTTCCGGCGCCGGTGTTGCGGCCATGGTGGCCTGTGCCGAGGCCGGCGCCGACGTGGTGGATGCCGCCATCGACTCCATGTCCGGCATGACGTCCCAGCCCTCCATGGGTGCCCTCGTCGCATCCCTCAAGGTACCACCTTCTCGCCTTTAGGAATGTGTGGAATGCAGGGACAAGAAGGATGAGCGGCGTCGCATGATGATCTTGAATGCGTTTTCTATGTGCAGGGTACTCCGCATGACACCGGCCTGAAGATGGACCAACTGTATCCCATCAACAACTACTGGGAGCAAGCTCGCACGCTCTACGCACCCTTCGAGTGCACGACCACCATGAAAGCAGGTACAACAGCCGTCATCAAACAAACGCGTGTCGACTTGTTCCAGCGCCCTCCGTCACCTGATCGCCTCCGCCTGTGGATGGTTCATCTCTGCAGGAAGCTCTGACGTGTACGAGCACGAGATTCCTGGTGGGCAGTACACCAACCTCCACTTCCAGGCCTATTCGCTCGGCCTTGCTCACCAGTGGCCCTCGATCAAGAAGGCCTACGCCCAGGCCAACAGGTACCTCCGCTACACACCCTCCGTGGGCGGTAATCGATGGAACAATGACTGAACGCTTGAATCAATCGGCTGGCACCAGACTGCTCGGGGACATCGTCAAGGTGACGCCGAGCTCGAAGGTGGTGGGCGATCTGGCGCAGTTCATGGTGCAGAACAATCTGGACGAGGAGAGCCTGCTGGAGAAGGCCGAGGAGCTCAACTTCCCCTCGTCGGTGGTGGAGTACTTCGAGGGCCTCATAGGTCAGCCGCCCGGCGGCTTCCCCGAGCCGCTCCGCACCAAGGTGCTCAAGGGCAGGCCGTCGACCAACGGCCGAGCCGGGGAGTCGCTGCCGCCCCTCGACTTCCACAAGCTGAAGCGCGAGCTGATCGAAAAGCATGGCAAGTACCACATCAGCGAACTCGACGTGCTCAGCGCCGCCCAGTACCCCAAGGTGAGTGATCTTGCCACTTCTCAGGCACATGCACCGCACCTATTCTCACTCACCCACTCGCTCACTCGGCGCACCGCGCAGGTGTTCGATGAGTACATGGACTTCAAGCGCCTGTACGGGAATGTGTCATCGCTGCCGACCCGAAACTACCTCACCGGCCCGGAGGTGGGCGAGGAGATCAAGGCCGACATCGAGCCCGGCAAGTCGCTCCACATCATGCTCAAGGCCGTGGGCGCGCCCAACGCCGACCACAAGCGCGAGATGTTCTTCGAGCTCAACGGGCAGCCGCGGTCGGTCTTTGTCGAGGACAAGAAGGCCACGGCCAAGGAGGGCGCCGGCCACGCCGGGTCCAGCAAGTCGCGGGAGAGGGCCGACCCCTCGAACAAGAAGCTGGTGGGTGCCCCCATGCCCGGCTCGATAGTGGGCGTCAAGGTGAAGGACGGCCAAGAGGTGAAGAAGGGTCAGCCGCTGCTTGTGCTGTCGGCCATGAAGATGGAGACCGTCGTGGCGGCCCCTGCCGACGGCAAGGTCAAGCGTATCATCGCCAAGCAGGGCGACTCCATGACCGCCGGCGATCTGCTGGTGGAGATGGAGTGAAATGGTTACCATCATCTTTGCTCAGCCACACAGTAAATCGCGTCGTGTTCATTTATTACTGCACCGTGTTGGACTCTGGCTGAAGGCCTTCACAGCTGCAGGTGTGTATTTGTTTGAGCGAACAGAAGAGGTAGCTTTGGCGCTCACATGTTCAGCTGTGACATCCGGAGTCATGGTCGCAGCTGCTCCTTCACCCAGGCGGCGATGTTGTCGAGCTATTGGTCGCACAGGGTCCTTCTCCTTTGGACCCTTGGCGATGTGATGGTAGGGCAGAGGGAACACGTGGGCCATGTTGGGCACGACCTGATCCCAGGCGCGCAGCAAATGCATCATTAACTGTTGGTCTGAGCTGAGGGCCTAAGGCCCATTCATTCTGCTTCCAATCCGGGAGGAGAAGGCCAACACACTCCAAGGGCGAGTGTACCTGCGGCCTGAAACGCAACCCACTGGGCAAACTCCTTCGAAAGGACTGGGTCGGTGGTCCCATTCCGCGCTACCGACTCACGCTCGCAGGACAAGTCGGTCCAGGCCGACATGACTGCCGCGCGAGGAGTGGGCAAGACGCCTGAGTGCACCACGTGCGTGTGAGTCCAGGATCACGCCACAGCGCCCAGTTTGGAGCCAAGGAGCGGAAGATGCACTCTTTTCTCCATCGTGCAGGGCGAGGAGGGTGAGGAGACTCAAACCGCCGCCCGCGCTGTCGCCAGCAAAGACGATCTTCTCTGGAGCGATCCGCTGGTCATGCAGGAGCCACTTGTACGCCGTGATCACGTCATCCACGCACGCTGGCGACGGATATTCGGGACCCAACCTAGTGACCGCATATGTGCGCTGTTAGTCTGTTTCCTACTAATCAACCCACCACAGTCGAGGGACTTACACACCGGTACTCAACGAAGAGGACTCTGGTATCAGCTCTGTGTCCCAACTGCGCAGCAGCTGCCCCATGCGAAACCAGCGACCTGAACAAGTGGGGAGTGTCCTTTCAGCCAAGGAAAGAATGCAGAGAACCAAGGCTAGGTACCCTCCGATGTAGCCGCCACCGTGAAGGAAGAGTAAGACAGTGCCGCTCTTCTCGTGGCCTGCGGGCGTGATCCAGCGGACGGTCAGCTGAGTGCCATCGTCCCGTCTTTGAAGCACGTAGAGTTCGAGTTGGTTAGTGACCAATGACCAACACTGGCGGTGGCATGGAGAACTGGCTGAGTGGTCGAACCGGAGGTATACGTATGCACCTGCCCAAAGCCATCGATCCACTGCAAAGACGAGTGAGGCGAAGGCAAGCAGCACGCGGAGAGATAGCATGAGTTTGCCTTCCTGGTTGTGTGTGCAGGTAACAAGCAACTTACCTGGCGGGTGCCGTCAAGGGTGAAGGTGTGGGTGGACATCTTGCTGTTTGGAGAGTGTGCGGTGAATATGAAGTGAGAGTGCGTGTTGTCGTTGGCTTTGCCCTGTAAGTGGTAAGGCGAAGGAGGGCCTTTATATTCATACTCCTTTGACCACTAACTCCGCGATCGCCGCCTTCTCACCGTCTCGCCAACATCTAAACAGCGCGTCGCGTTTTCTCCATAAAACGCAACACAGCTTAGCGCTCCCTTTTCGCTAATTGGTTGCAGCTCCAATGAGTCTCAACGGCCCCGGCAGCTATAGCTCGTGGCGTGTGAGACCTCCAACGGCACCCAGGTGCAGATGCAGCACACCGAGACCGTCTGAGAGACCAGCGTTGGATTTCGATGAGGCTGGGTGGGACACCGAAGAGGAGTTCGCTCGATCAAGGTTCAAGTGTTCTCACTGTTCTGCGTGCTGAGCGTGAGAGGAGATGGTGAGATTTACCAGGCTTTTTAAGACGGCTAGGAATTCGGGGCAGAGTGCCCGGGGGAAGCGTGGATTGTTCAGATTCCAACAATGCCGAAAAGCGGCCGAGATGGCAGGGAAATGCCTCGCGATCGTCTGGGAGAGAGGAGCCTGGCGACCCGCATTTTTCGCGGTCCCGGCTTATCTCCATCCAGCAACTAGGAGATGCGAGATTGAAAAACAACAACAAGGCCAGCACTGGGACCGGTCTCGCACATTTACAAAAGACCAAGGTCATCCATAGAAATTGGGTAAGCATAGAATTTAAAGGATCTTCTCGCCATCTCTCGCCACACGTCACACCAGCGCGGCGCAAATCGAGCTGTCGGGGGCGGTGGATCAAAGCTGATGCGGGTAAGTGTGCAAACGGACAGCGGGGCGGTGTTTCCTTTGGAGATAGGCGCGGATGAGACCGTTGAGATCATCAAGAAAAGGCTGCAGTCCTTGCTGCTGCTGAGCAGTTCTCAGCACGAAGGCCAAGAGGAGGAGGAGGAAAACGACGACGTGGAGCAGAACCAAACGGACCACGCTGACGGCGTCACGATGATCGAGGACATGGAGCTGAGCCTCGGCGGACGCGCTCTCGAGAATCGGCGAACGCTCAAGGATTACAGCATCGTGCCCAACGCTGCCCTCCATCTCGCCATCTCCCGCGGCCAGGATCAGAATCTGCCGCCTGCGGATGGCGTGGCCGCCCTCCCGCAACAGGCGACCTCGCTTGGCACACTGTCGGCCCTGCCGCCCGAGATGCTCACCCACATCATGTCCTTCGTGCCCTTCGAGGATCTCATCGTCAAGGTGGCCTGCCTGAACCGCGACTGGAACAAGCTCGTCGAAGACGACAGCCTGTGGAAGATGGCCTTCGGGCGGTTGTGGCACAAGGAGGTGCAGGAAGAGGAGGAACGCAAGAAGCTTCGTCGGAAGGCGCTCATGGAGAGGGAGTACCAGGCCAAGAAGAAAAAGCTCGAGGAGGACTACGAGCGCAAGCGACGCGAGCTGGAAGAGGAGTACGACAAGAAGCGCAAGAAGCTCGAGTCCAAGAAAAAGGAGGAGAGCTGGAAGCAAGTCTTCGAGCAGCACTACGTCGTCCAGAAGGTTCGTCGACCTCCTCCTCCTCCTCTCCTCCTCCCCCCCACAACTCCACTACGGACCTGCACTCATTATTGCGCACACCGATGTGTTGGGTGCACAATTGTGCAGCATTGGAAGTCGGGCAAGGCCTGGCTCCAAACGCTCGACGTCAAGCGGACCATCAACTGTCTGCTCTTCGACGACGAGACCGACCTCGTTGTGTGCGGAAACCATTCGGCCGATGGCCAAGGTAAAGCCCACTCGTTCCTCTCTCGCTCTCTTCTCTTCTCTTTTCTTCAATTCTCTTCTCTCTCTAGAGAGTGACTACTTCTGACTGCTCTGGTCCTCGTGCGTGCAGGAGGTGAGATCCGATTCTGGAATCTCAAGAAGAGAACCTGTACCAAGACCATTACCGCCCACGATCGGTGGGTGCGAGGTCTTTACTGGGAGAAGGATCGGCTCTTTTCCTGCTCCAACGACAAGACTGTGAAAGGTGAGAAGAGCCCTACCCTTTTCTATCTTTTGTGACAGCGTGGACTCACATGTGGCCGTCACAGTCTGGAACTTGAACACGGGAGCTTTCCTGAACGTGTACGAGGGCCATGAGAACAACGTGCCCATGGTGCAAGTCTCGCTGGCGGACAATATCATGGTCTCGTGTTCTCGTGACCAAACCGTTAAGATCTGGGTACGCCGGTACCACGTGGCTTCGCACGTGCAGCACCAGTCTGCCGTTGGGTGCTGATTCACCTGTTCTGTGTGCTGCAACAGGATGTTGGTCTGGGCGATTGCCTGACTACTCTCTCGGGGCATTCGCATGCTGTCAACTGCGTGCAATTCAAGGATAATGTTATCGTATCAGGAGACCGTGGCGGGCACCTGAAGGTACGAGCCGCGCCCATGATTTCTTAGGGCTTCTTGCTTAGACGTACGACGGCAGCGAGGGGGGGGGGCATATGTGTTAATTTAATACCCGCGGGGCGTCTAGGTGTGGGACTTCCGCGCGGGAACATGTATCAAGACGATGTCCACTGGACTGGATGTCGTTCAATGCGTTGAGTTCGTCGGTGGCCGACCCAACGAGCTGATCGTCGCTGGAGGAAGTTCTCGCAGCGATGAAAAGAAGTATCCGCTTGAGGTATCCTCCCTGCTCGTACGAGGTAAAACCTTCTTACCTTGCCCTAACCCATTTTATTTGTTCCCAAGATATGGGACTTGATGCTGGGTTCGGCCGTCACGAGCCTGTATGGCCACACCGGTTTCAACTGGGCCATGCAGTACGACCAACCGAGCGGCAAGCTAGGTACAATAATCACAACGTTGTAATTTACTGCTTGCAGACTGTGTGTGAGTAACATACTTGAAAACCACCTCACAGTTACTGGTGGAGCCGACCGATCAATTCGAGTGTGGGACGTCAAGGAGAGCAAGTGCGAGGGCGAGGTGTTGGACCGAGCAAAGGGTCGGGCGAGTAATCACGCCGACAGCATCTACACACTCCAATTCTCGTCCAACCGGGTGGTGAGTGGATCCAAAGACAAGACGCTCAAGGTAACGCCCCCCCCCTCCTTTCTCCATATCCTCTCAATGGTTCCTCCTCTCACGTGTGGTTTGTTTTTTTTTTTTTTGAAATTTACGCAGGTATGGAACTTTGCGAGAGCGGGCAAGGGCCACGAGGAGGATGTGGCGAGCAGGGATGTCGGAGATGAAAGCGAAGACGAGGACAGGGGCCGTTACGGGAGCTACACCCACGACTACGTCTTCACGGGGTATCAGATGGAGTAAGTCACAGACTGAGCGATTGTTACCCAGCACGCGCGCGTACCTCAAGGTGTACATAGAAGAACACGACGCGAAGGACTAAGGGAGGAACCTCCTTGTACAGTACCAGATTGGCAGTAGGATTTCCCTTCTCTTTCAACGTTGAGCTCTCTTCCTTTTGATACTTTTCACTTCCTTGTTGCCAGTCAACAAACCTCCTTCCTTCCTTCCCGCCTGCCTTCAAGCAGGTTGATGCTGCTGGAGGGACAGGGTGGAGATGATGCGTGCAGCGCAGTCCTTCCACCGCTCCAGCCCGAAATAGTGAAGCACGACGGGGCTCGAGTCGGCCACGGGGCAGTCCTCCTTGCCGCCCCACGCGTTGAAGTCGGGCCGGTCGGTGAACTTGAGCTCGAACGGGGCGAGCCACAGGCCGAGTGCGGCGTCGTCCGCGACCAGACGGACAAGCTTGAGATCCTGCGGTGGGTGGGCCACGTACTCGACCAGGTCGCGCGACAGCACCACGGCGCTGCCCGAGTGGTAGGGCATGTACTGCGAGTTGTGGGGCAGCTTGGTCTCGGGTTCGGACCCTTCGCGGCCGATCGGCTGGCCCAGCAGGGCGCAGCCCTCGTAGAGCGCGGTCTCGTTCTGGCGGCGGATGAGCTCGGGCAGGAGCCGATCAAGCCGCGTGAAGGAGTCGTCATCGACCCGAAACAGCATGCGGAAGTCGTAATCGCGCACGAACGCGCGGCAGCTCTCGATCAGCTTGCAGGTCAGGTTGAGCCGGCTCTCCCCGCAGTCGACGCGCATGATGTCTTCGTAATCCTGGCTCTCCCCCGCCACAGCCGCCTCATCCGCCTCGCTCAGTCCTCGACCTTCCCGCGCGCGAGGGGAGAGAGAGAGAGAACACAAAAACAATGTCAGCTTGATGTGCGAATCACAAACATGATGAGGGCCGCGTGGAAAGCTGCGCAATCAACAGCAACATATGGCGAAAAAGGACGGACCGACGATGAACTTGAGTACGTAGTCGGCCCCGTGCTGGAGTTCGGTGAGCTGGCGCACGATGGGGAGGAGCGTGCTGCGCCACAGCATGCGTCGTTCTTGTGATTTGCCCGAGCTGAGAACGCCGACGGCAACGGGCACCTTGAGCGGCGGGTGTGGCTCTGCGTTGAGGGTGGTCGGGGTTTGTTGGGCTGACGATGACAGCTGTAGCATGGGCGCGAAGGCCATGTCGGAGAGGAGGACGTGGCCGGCCAGCAGGACGAAGCCACCCATCATCAGCGCGAACAACATGTGCATTAGGCGCATGGCGGCAAGGTGTGGTGCGCGGACCTCAATCAACCCGAGTATTGTGGTAGAGGTTGCGGTTGCGTTTTGTCCATTGCATTAATGGCGCGACGGAAGAGCAAGCTGACCCCCCCCCGTCGACGAGCTTAAAGGGACCTGCCTTCTGGTTGGTCGAGGAGATTTAGCAGGGGGCGACACGTAAGTACTCGCCCTCCGCAGCAGCAAGCTGGCCCGCACTGGGAGCTTCTTTGTTCATCCGCGTGTCACTTGGCCCTATGGTTGTGAATAGGTGCAACCCCTCGATAATCCCTAGATTTGTTGGGGTAGCACCAGTTCATCGCGATCTAATCTCAAGCTTTCTCCCCCCCGACAGGCCCGTGTCGACACGAAATAATGGAATTCGAATGACCCCTTGGGGGGTGAGGTGGTCTTTGGTATGTTCACCTTCTTTGGGAGAGCAGGAAAAAACGTAACGACAAGGCAGCTGAGAAAGAAGAGAAAGAAGAGAGTGCCCACACAGTGGTCGAGGTTGGGAAGTGTGGTGGAGAAAAAGAAAGACAAACATACAGACAGATAGGAGAAGAGGTTGGGACGGAAGCCCAGGGGAAGTGGTGTTCATTCTTCTCTACGCCCTCTTCTCGCCTGACCCGATCACACCAAAGGTCCACCAGCCCGCAGGGAGGCGATCTCGAAGAGATGAACGATGGTGGAGACGAGGTGACCAAACAACAGCAACAACAGAATGGTGGGGGCGCTGCGGTGTCGTTCCAAACAAACAATGGTGCGCCCGGCGAATCGCTGGATCCGCCCAACAACAGCAGCAGCAGCAGCAGCAGCAGCAGCAGCAGCAGCAGCACGGATGCGAGTAAGGTGGTGAAGACGGTGAAGAGCTTCCGCGAGCTGAAGGCGCTCTACGAGGCCAAATCGAC